GAGTGGATGTTTTCAGAGAACTATCCACAATGACTCCAGGATTTTTTTCTTCAGTAGTTGTAGCCAAATAAGTCTCCATCACATTGCATGTATAGTTGGGATCATTACATTTATCAACATTACATTTCATTTGCCATTTTGTTGCCCAATCACTTAGTTTGGTGAGATCTTTTTGAAGCCCTTCACACTCTGCTTTGGTCTTAACTGTCTTGAGCAGTTTGGTATCATCTGCAAATTTTGCCACCTGACTGTTTACCCTTTTCTCTAGATCATTTATAAATAAGTTGAATAGAATTGGTCCCAGAACATCCTCTTGGGCTACATCTACACTGCAGGCTTCTTGCTCAAGAACTTTTGCACAAGAACTCTTGTGGAAAAAGTTCTTGCGCAAGAGTGCGTCCGCGCTGCTATGTGCTTTTGCGGAAGAGATGTGCTTTTGAGCAAGAGTGTCCATGGCAGTATGGATGCTCTCTTGCACAAGAAACCCCTGTTGCCTGTCCACACATGCCTTTTTGCACAAGAGCTCTTGTGCAAAAAGGCTTATTCCTCATAGAAAGAGGAATAACTCTTGCGCAAAAAGCTCTATGTTCTTACGATTAACTGTACTTTTTCTTGCGCAAGACTGGGGGGAGGGATAGCTCAGTGGTTTGGCCCTTGGCCTGCTAAACCCAGGGTTGTGAGTTTAATCCTTGCAGAGGCCATTTAGGGATTTGGGGCAAAAATTTGTCAGGGGTGGTACTTGGTCCTGCTATGAAGGCAGGGTCCATTCTAGGAGATAGGCGATCTCCATTATTTTTTTTTTAAATGCACTTGTAATGTGGATGCTCGACTGACCTTGTAGTGTAGTTTCCCTTTCTGAAATTCAGTGCCACAGTGTTGGGCTGCTGAGGTGTTTTTCCCACCACAGGGATGTTAAATTTTATTATATTATGATCACTATTTCCAAGTGCTCCAGTTATATTTACCTCTTGGACCAGATCCTGTGCTCCACTTAGGACTAAATCAAGAATTACCTCTTCCCTTGTGGGTTCCCCACACAGGGAAAGGAGGCTCCTGCACTATAAGCGCTGGAGTACAGCTGTCAGATCTCTGTGTAACTTTGGTGTGTGCATTGCTGACATGTGAGGACTGTTGTGCTTTGCAGAGTTACAGACACAGAGATAGTAGAGATGGGCAAAACCCCATTAACTGAGGGCCTCTCTTCCCCATGGTTGCAAAATTCCTTCTCTGGGATCCCATGTGTGTGTCTGATGGTGCTGAGGTTCTTTTCTCTCTCCCTCCTCTAGGATGTCAGAAGCTACTTGAGCAGGTGCGTGGCTCCCTCACTCCCCTCACACTGCGCTATGTTGGGAAAGAGCTTGGAGTTGACGTTAGCACCACATCTCCCCAGGGCTTTACAGGCAGATGTGAGGGGACGGTCACAGGCTGGGCACAAATCTCTCTGACCAACTTCAACCTGAGGGTCTCATCCTTGCATAGAAGACTCTGGAATTTTCCATTGAGGGGCATAGTCTGATCTCAAATATTTCCTAGAGCTGTCACTTCCCTAGGGACTAGCTGCCTCTGGACTGTGGGGGTGGAACATGGGCCTGTCCCTGCTGGGCACTGGGCACCATTCAGCCTAGGACAGCAGGGGTCAAGAGTCTTTCCCACTCATGAGGTCTATGGAGACCTGTGTGGCATGAGCTGGGGACGGGGGAGCTGGTGTCTCAGTCTTGTTCCAGGTGGGCAGATTCCCACAGCACTTCACCTGGGAACCTGCTGTCCCTCAGAGCCTGGAGACCAAAGAGTGAATTGGCCATGGACACTCAATTCCACCTCTGTCCCTAGATCTAGTCTCTCCAGGCTGGATTTCAGGAATATTAATGGGTCCTTTCAGGGAAAGGTTGCATGCCCACAGGCTGTTCTGCACATGCTCTCGGGCTGGGAGAAGCAGAAAAATTTGAACTCTAGGCCCATTAGAGCAGCGACTCACTAGCCAGAACTTATGAACTGTGTCACTTGATGCAGCGTCAGCCTGTGACATTGTTTCTCTCCAGGTGTGAGACGGGGCAGTTCCAGCCACCAGAGGAGATTTTTCCTGACCTGGACGAGCAAATCAGTGGTTTCTGCCAGAAAAGTCTTGCGCTGTCGGAGACGCTGAGAGAGTTCAAAGGTACCTAGAAGGGATGGAGGAGGGGAAAGTGAGCGAAGCATCTGAGACCACGGAAAGAGAATGATGCTGGTCATTTGGTTCACAGTTAGATTAAGCTTCTATTTAAGTGTGAGGTGAGAATGGCTCATCCTTGGGATCTAAGACACTTGGGTTGATTAATGGAACCCATATTGGTTCCAAAAGCAGGCTTTGTAATTACAGTGCCTGTTAGTAAGGAATGACAGACACACAGAAAGAAACACCACCTGCTCCTGGGGCATTCCAAACAGCCAGTCTGTGTCCAAACAAGCCAGTCTGTGTCCAAACATGCTTTGATTTAATTGTATGCTTTGACTACCTTTGACTATGATGCTTTGACTACCTTTTACCGAGTCTGACACATTATGCGCAGCCAAATTATGCACTGGTTCGTTCTGGAGGAGGGACAGAGGCGTGTCCCTGAGAGAGCTGGGGCTAGGAAGGGCAAGGGATGAGGCAGGAGAAGGAGGGACAGAGGGACATGGGCTGAATAAAGCTAGGCCTCTGGCTCTCTGCTCCCTGGCCTAGGCACACCAGGTCACTGTAACCGGGATGTGACTCCAGCTGGCGTTAGAACTGCTTGAGCCTGTGCCAAGCTCTGCCCTGGCCCTCGCAGCCACTGACCTGCGGGGTAACAAATGGCCTCCTTGCCCTGGTTGGACCGGCACAGGGTGAATCTGGACCAGGTAGCCAACCTGCCCCTGCCTCAGTTTCCTCTGGATAAAATGATTTTTATCCTTATTCCTGTTGCTGCCTGTGGAGGGCGAGGCCCCATCCTGCTGCTCCCTGTAGTGACACTGAGTTACTTTGGTGCCAAAGTCTGTGCAGGCCTGGATCTAGGTCACGACAAAGGCAGTAAGTGAACGAGACAAACCCACTGGCGTCTGAAGGGTGGGAGGGGATGAGGAGGGAAAAATTAATTCTCACTGTCTGCTTGTCTGTGCTGGGGTGAGTGTGAGGCTGCAGGGATGTTGGTTCCATTTCTGGTGCCTGAGTGGGAGGGAAACAGAAGGTTTCAGACCTTTTCATATTAAACACCTGAGTGTGTCTCTGTCTGGTCTCTGTTACAATTAAATCCCAGCTCTGTGTGATCACAATGCAAACCTGAAATCTCCCCTCTCCTCTCCTCCCCCCTCCAGACACACTGCCATCTGCACTGGAGGTCCAAAGAGGGGAACCTCGAGGAGCGTACAAACCAGGTGAGTTGCCTCAGAGCCTCATATTATTCCCCCCCACCTTGCTGAGCCAGGCTTGCTGGCCACTTCGAGGTGCAGCCCATTGCCCCAGTTCAGGGAGGCACCAGACAGCTGGCCTTAGCACTGCTGACCAGAAGCCAGCCATGTAAGTGAGATCCACAAACTCCCCCCACCCCGAGCCTCCTCCAGCCCAGGGGCCACCTCCTGCACCCCAAACTTCTCAATCTGGGCCCCAGCCCAAAGCCTAGAGCCCCAGTCCAGAGCCCATCCCCCCATCGTAGGGCACTTTGCCAAAACTGGAGCCCCCTCTTGCATCCCAACCCCTCATCTCCAGGGCTACCCCAGAGCCCTCACCCCCTCCAGCACCCCAATCCTCTGCCCCAGCTTTCAGTCTCCTTTGGTAGTCTAATACCCTCAGCCAAGGTGAGTAACTTCCTCCTCCCTCTAAGCTGCACGACTCACGGGTGGGAGCCAAAACAAAAAAGTAGTTAATATAATGGTCTTCAGTTGATATGAGCTTTTAGTAGTTACATTCCTGGACTGTCATTGCTCATGAAAAGTGCTGTCATATGGGTGGCAATCGGGTAAATATCGCATTTTATTAATATCAGCAGAACCGACTAAATGGGGCCTGTGTGTTGTGTAGTCTTGTCTTAATCTTCGTATTCATGCCCATCAGTGTGAAAGAAGCTATTTGCATATATTTGCGTATATTTGCATATACATGCAACCACACTTA